TCTTCAGCTCTCACTTAGATGAATGAGAATCAAAGGCTTCAGTGGAGCATCTCAGGTGACAATGACACAATATAAACATGTTACATATCACATACGGAAATGGCAGGTTCCTACTTTGGTTTCTTCGGTATCAAAATAGTCCCATAAGTGGAAAACAATTTAGTCAATCTGCTGAGCTTCTGTTGAATTTGATGCACACTCATGCAGGATTTTTATTTTTCTGTTTTTTATTACAAAGCAATGAAATTTCTATATTTATGTGATATTTTAACCCTTTGATGCTAAACCACTTCCTCTAAAATAATAACTCTCTACTCTTCCTGTAAACATAAAACTACATTATGTGTAAGAACCAGCAATTTGCTACCAATGATAGTTTCAAAAAGAAAGAAACAAGGTATATTTAGCGTGAGGAATAATTAGAAAAAAGTGAACCCCCCCCAGCCTGTATCATATTATCATTATATAAAAGGCTAAAAATATTTGGTCATCTTAATTTAGAACTCAAGAAAGGGATAGATGTTCAGGAATGATGAACAATGTGATTGAAATAAATAGAACACACACTCATCCAGTTAAATGGATTGATAGTAAATTACTGTTCATTGCTACTTTTGAAGTAAGTCCCATGCATACAACTTCTGTGCAGAACATTAGCACATATAGAAAGAAGATTTCAGTTAATCCTTCTTGGGGGTTAGTTTCCTGTGCATCAAGAATGAGAGTTCCCACACCCCTTTTTAACTATGGGGAAACATTAAATGTGTTATTCATCCACATGAAATTTTAAATCATATGGTTTATGTGTCTTTTCAGAATACAGCCTTTTAGAAAAGAATCTGGCAGGGTTAAAAGCATTTCAGGTTTTCATTTTCTGGGGAGGCAGGCTTTCTCTTAGTACATGCTTTTTGTAACCAGAGGGCATAGAGTCTGTCTGAATCACTGACACAGCCTCCTACAACAAGTGCTGCTGGTTACACAATCACTTCTCTCTCTCCCCCCCGCCCATCCAAAAGCACTGAACCACTTCTTTCTTCCGCTGCACAGTCCTCTAACCTTCTGAACACGAAGGTGTGTGCTGAAAACAGCTCGTCATGGCCACAGGGATATCTCAACGTTTTCTTCCACACCATTTCTTTAACCTGCCTATTCAGAAGCAAAGCCTATAAACTCCATGAGGGCTTACTCCAAGATAACCATGAGTAGTGTTGCAGCCTTTTACATTTTACTACTTGGTTTTACTTTTGGCTTTACTGCTGAAGTGATTGTTCATAAAATTACGGTTTTTCCTTCCAGTTCTCTGCATAAGGGTCCTGGCTGAAGTTATAAAATGTGCAGCTTCTACAATCAACTCAGGCTGGAAATGTTTTCTTTGTTGCTGGAAAAAGAGAGGAAGAGAGGGAGAACACGAGAACGAGCTCATACCTTAAGGTCTTGTTACTAGGCAACAGTGTTCCATTTGCCAATTGCCACCATTTCCTTCTTACCGTATTACAGGCCTTATTATTAACATTTAGTTCAGAGAGATTGCTGTCATTATGTGAAGTAACTTCCTTTTGAGGTTACTCATTAACCTTAGGTATTTTACTGTGTGATTATAATTACCAAATACCACTGGCATGGAAAAACTCCTCAAGATTTGGGAAGAGAGAGAGAAATCGAGAGATCCTATTTAATGTTTTTCCTTTCTTCTTTTTGTTCCATGACTGTTAAACAGCGTTGGGTTACAAATGGTTAGATATGAACATATCAACATGTGTGAACTTAAAATGGTTTTCAATCATACTAAAGACAACAATCCTTGTTGATTGCCAACAACAACAAAAAAGATAGATCGTCTGATCTCTGTGGCCCTACCCATGGCAATTACTATGCAATCCTGAGCATGTATATAGGATTAAAACTTACTCCCAAGTAGCTATGCATTGGATTGCATGGCCTTAATTGCTTGCTATTTTCTATTACAATACTCTTTTAAATTATCAGATAAGTCTTTCCAGCTATTAGACTGTAGATGCAAAGCCTGATCACTTGCTTTATGGGATTCTTAAATCTCTCTAGATATACAGTAAGAACTACATTTTAGATATCAGTTTAGGTAAAAACTGCATTACACATTGTCTCAGGCAAATCTCTGTACTTAAGTCTTCCCTCTATTTGTCCTGTGTAGAAGTGCATCAACATTCCTTCTAATTTAATTTTTTTGACAGGCTACAGCAGGCCCCTGAAACTGAGATTCCTGGGTATGCCTGTCATGTGAATCAGTGGGGAAATATAGATCATATTCAGGAAATTAAAAGTCAAGTGATAGAAATGCTTTATATTTTCCATTATTTTTCATTTAAAATGAAAGTGCTCATTTGAAAGAGGATAGGGTCAGCTTTCTTCTGAGGTACCTTGGCATTACCATATAGGAAAAATATTTCCAGAATAACTCTTTGTATGAGTATAATGGGGGAAAGAAACATATTTCATTTAAAATCTGCAGTTATCTGTGAATAAAGCCAATAGATGGAATAAGAATGGACAGCAACCAACATCGCAATCTGAATATAAAGTTGCAAAATGCCATAGTCAGCTAATTTCTTAAAGAATCAAATATTACCAGCAGTGATACGAAGTTCATATTATCTAGTTTAATAGCAATTGCTGAATGCTCAGAGGAAACGTTGTTTTTTTAAATAAATAAAAGTTATGTGGGGTGCATCACAAATGCATATGCACAAGCTGCCTATGTATATATCTAAGATCTCACAGGAACAAATTTGGGAAACAATTACACAAAAAGAGCTGCAGAAGTCAGAACGATCTCATTGATATCACAGAAAATATCCAGTAGGTATTTGATATTTGCATTGCTATTGAGTGAATGAATCTTCCTGCAATACAATTTTCTGGTTTAAAATGTTGGAAAAATACACTACATACTCCCAGAGTTGAAGCGGTGTCTTGAAGGAAATTGGTCAGATTTCTTGCAATAAATAGTATCTGCATTTATTGCATAATAAATAATTATAGCTATTAATAATAATAAACAAAAGTCTGACTAAATTTAGTAGTTATTATTGCTAACCTGGTCTTGATCTGATTGTTTATTGAAAATAATCTATAACTGCTAATAATAAAATGCCAGAAGAAATTATCAGATTGGTTTACTATTCATGGCTTGCTGATCAAGTCTGTTTTCATATATAATTTCTTTGTGAGTAAAATCCATTGAAAACAGCAGGGCGTGTTTCTAAATAGACATATACCAGTCAGGCTGCACATCAAATGCCCTGGGCCCAAAACCATACGTAGCCATACAAAGCCTCTTCAAAAGTTGCTACTTATCTCTAAGATTTAATCTGATCAAAGAGGAAACAATAAAGAAATAAGCAGCAATAATATTAAATTAAATTAAAGCAAATTTAATTTTTATTTCATTTTTGTCCTGGCACCACCTACTTCCTGCAGTTTCTGTTCACACTACTCACGTTCAAGGGATTTTCTTTGGATTGTGAATCCACATCTAGGACTAATCCAAGTAAAAGAAAAGAAATATCCCAAGGAATATTTCAAAGTATATTAGTTGGACCCTGATAATATAAACATATCACTGCAATTTGGCAAAATTGAATCTACTTATTTATTATATAGTTTATTGCCTGTCTACAGAAATTCTATTCAAAGTGGCTTGACTATGCTATCAATAGAAAGCTGATGGAACAGTGGTTTGTTATTACTTTTATACTATTTCCCTCCTCCCCCCCCCCCCCCAATATTTTAGTACTGGTGCTCTACAGTTGTGATCCATCATGTTTTGGTGACTTTCTCTTTGAAGAAGACACAAATTTGACAAACCATATTGCTTTCAAATGTGGAAATTATGTATGTAGGTTAATCTTTAATTAATCTCTCACTGGAGGACTAATGCACTCATAAAAGCATTTACCTCAAGACTTTATAAATTATTTTCTCCTTATATGTTAAAAGTAAAAAAATGCTACATGCATTTTTAATGTGTTTGTATATTTTCAGCAACAGCATCTGCGTAATGTTGACTATTGTTTTCTTTTGGCAATGAAAGGTGGCAGAACGTATGGCATGAGCTATTTGTCTTTTAAAACTGCATCCATTGATCCTTTCCCCTTCCCTTCTTACACTCACACCATAGAAGCTAGAGCGCTATAGGGATTTACTCCTTCCTTCTAGGATAACCTGGGTTGCAATTTAACTGCAAGTTTGTTTCCTCAGCTGTCTGACTTACAGTTTATCTGATTCACATTGACCCCTTAGTTTAGAATGAGCCAGTTTATTTGCTCGCGCTAATTAGACTGGCTTAGACAAAAACATAACTGATCTGCAAAGAGGTCAGCCTTTTGATCATTTCTTATCAGGAAGTGGAAAATCTACAGTATTTTTGGGATCTGCGGAGCACAGGGTATTCTATTAATATTGTGTTACTGCTTTTGTTCATGTTTGTTGTTTTAAAATCTGTGTGAGAAGAGGCTGTTTCTCTAGTCTGTGGGAGGAATCTTGTCAGGATTCACAAGCTAATTCATTAACTATTCTGTGAAAATCCAGAATCCCTTTTGCTTAGCAACAATGCTGACCACATCTAATTCTTGTTTAAATACTTGAGTGCTACTGCTGATTGGGAGTTTTTAAGTGCTTAACAAATCTCACCAAAAACAAGTGATAAAAATGCTATGTAGACAGTGCCTTGTTTTACTTTGATGGCACATGACCCTTCTACAAGTTTAACAAAACTGAGCATGCTACACCAAAAATGAAAGAAACAGGGGAAAAAAAACTTCCAACATGTTTAATCACAAAAGAAATTTATGAAATAATACTGGTCATGGCTTGTTTTTCTGGCCTAAGGCCTAACCAAATTGTTGTAATCTCTTCTTGACATATAGGAGCCCCACAGAAGAAAATACATTTCTATTTAATTAGGATCTATGCCAGAAGTTAAGTTCAATGTCCAGTTTTCAGTAGTTGCTAGTAGCACTCACCTTTCAGAGAGATTGGAAAGAAGTATTCAACTCAAGATAATAGTTGCTGTTTGAAGCACTTCTCAGTATATGAATGAAGGTGGCTGAGGAACTTAGTGAGTCAGAAAACTGATGTTATGCCACTGCCATTGATGTTTTCTCTCCACACTCTATCTTTACCCCAGGCTTTGGCTTCACATCCTGTCTTGTGCTTTTATAAGTCCCATATTTGGATTAAATTCATGTTGATTATTTCCCTGTGCAAACAGTATGAGTTGGTTCTTATGCAACTGGCAAACAATTTTATTGATTTACTGGTAGGGGCATTAAGGTGTATAAAGTTCCACAGATGCCATAATATTTTACTGTGATTGCTACATGTATAATTTACCCTCAGCATTTCTTTCTTCTGTGGCTACATTAACTCATTAATGAGGGGCAAGATTTGGATTACTGATGTAGAGACTTTTAGAATTAGATACTAAATCAGAATGGACACCAGCAAGAAATATAGAAAAGGTGTCAAGTGTAACACCAGTTTCAAGCTGTGTTCCTTTGCGTTTAGCAGCATAACTGAATTAGAGCTATTACCTAAATAAATGGAGATTATATGGAATATCTTTTAGAAATGTAATATGACCTCTTGAAATTAGTTCATGTAGTCTTTAAGAAAGAGACAGATTGCTGACACTAGACTCTCAAGTATAAATGGTCTTACTATATTGGGCAGAGAGCTATATTTTCAAAAAATAACCAATAGGAGCTGAAAAGTTTGAAGAAGAATCATACCCTGAAAAAATAATTGTAAACCATAATCTTCTATGAAAACAAAACCATTGGTTTGATGACAAGTTGCACTGTGATGGACCACATTCCATAAAGGGAGTCTGTTTTACTCCATGAGATTTAACAGCAGATAAACAAGGACAGGACACTGGGCATAGCCCAGCTAAAGTCATTCACACTTAAGTCCTGCTGATTTCTGTGTAACATTACATTTTAGAAGTTAATTTGGATTCCTAAAGTTTGCCTAGATGGTATACTCACTGTGATAAAAATGAAAAAGTCTCTGGAGAAGTTTCTAAAGCTGGGAAAGGTGGAAGGAAAGAGAAGAGGACAACTAGCAGCAAAGTGGATACACTCAGTTATAGTGGTGATGGGGGGTGCTGTTGGAAGAGCTGAAGGACCAGGTTAGGGACATATCATCATGGAGAAAATCTGTCTATGTGGTTGCTAAGAGTTGCCAAGAGTTGATGGCATAATCAATCAGACACACACACACACACACACACAGTGAATGTACAGTGTGTGTGTGTGTATTTCAGTGCCTTTGAGCCAGTCTTGACTTCTGGCAACTGCCTGGACAAGTTCCTGCAGTTCTCTTGGCAGCATTTTTGGAATTGGTTTCCCATTGCCTTCTTCCCAAGGTCACCCAGCTGGCTTCATGCCCAAGGTGGGACTAGAACTTACAGTCTCTCAGTTTCTAGGCTAGAGCTTTAACCATTACACCAAACTGTCACTCTATGTAAATAACATTGAGTGAAACATTAGCACTGATACTAATGTATTTATAATAATTGTAACAATGACAATTCCTATGGTGCCTTTAATTTTTAACACTAGTTGAAATTTTATTTATTTATTTATATTTCAAATTTAGATACCGCCCATCTCACAAAAAGTGACTCTGGGCGGTTCACAATAAAACAGCAATAAATATTAAAATACAATAAAA